TGTGGGTATAGCTGAGTGGCAGATCACTTGCCAAGCCTGCATAAGGCCAGGAGTGTGTTTCCCATAACAGAAATAAAGGGAAGGAAGGAGGAAGGGAAGAAGAAACTAAGCCAGAGTCAAGGACTCTACTTTTCCCCATTTTACTAGGAAAAATTTCAAACACAAACGAAAGTATAATGAGTAGTTAAATGAAACCCATTTCACTATAACTCAGCTGCAATAACTATCAATAATCCCACTGACCAATATGTCCCTACTTATAACTTCAATTAAAAATAATTCCCAGATGCCACACTATTTTTTCTATAAACACTTCTTTAGGTACTTCAATAACAAAATAATTATACTTAAAAAAAAAAAAAAAACTTTTTGGGTATCCTGTTAAGTGCCTGGATCTCTCCTCATAAAATGTTTTTTATAGTTATTCAAGTCAGGATCCCAGTAAATTCTAAATGATTTGCATGAAATTTATGTTCCCCAATTTTTAAAAAATCTGTAAAAAGCATCTTTCTTCTCTTTCTCCCCATTCTCATATATTAGTTGAAGAAAATGAGTTATCTGTCATGTAGAATTTTTTATAATCTGATTCAGGCATGGTGGTGCATGCCTATAATCCCAGCAAGGCCCCTTTTTTTGAGACTCTGTCTCAAAATCAAAAATAAAAAGGGCTGGGGATGTGGCTCAGGGGTTAAGCACCCTTGGGTTCAATCCCCAGTACCAAAAAAAATTTGTATTATAATCTGAGTTTGGTTGATAGCACTTCCTTGAGTAATTAACATATTTCTTTGCCTATTTTTTTTCTTAACCTGGCTCACATAAATTTAGATTTGACTCTTTGGGACATATATGCAAAATGCATCATAGTCAGAGGCTTAACATGCTTGATTTTTTTTCTCTTTCTATAAGAACTGAAAGATTTATTGATAGGTATCAACTTGCTCCACCCACTATAAAGTTCTCCATTGACATTTCATTCAATAATAATAACTCACTGCTGAGTTGCCTGGATCCATGTTTATTTAGTTAACTGCAAGAAGATAATTTTCTAAATTCTCTCATTCCTTCTGCATTCATCAGCTGTAATTCTTCAACACTGAACCTACCATGATCCACTATCTGATTTGTCTAACACAATTTATCCATAAAAGGCAAGTTAATTGCCCGATTCTTTCCCTTTATTTACCTATTTGTTCAGAATAATGAACTGGTGCTTTAGTAATCTCTAAATTATTTGTACAGTCTCGATACTAAGCTTTTGGATTTAAATATATTTACTTTAATCCACTGTACTCCAGTCCTTTTTATAAGTGCCCATACTAGGTAAATAATGGTCCCTCCATTGTTGCTCCTCTGTCCTTATTAAACAAGTTTTTATTAGTACATTCTAATTATATGTAATAGTAGTATTCATTATGACATATTCATATATGCCAATAACTTGCTCCATTTCATTCCCCATTACTTCCCTTTTCCCCTTTCCTCTTCCTTCTCCCTGACCTTCTTCCTTTACTTTAATGGTCTCCCTTCTATTTATTTATTTTTAATTGGTGCACTGTAATTATACATAAAAGTGGGATTCTTTGTGAATATTTATACATGTGCAGAGCTTAATTTGGCTACTTCATTCCCTGGTTCCTTCCCTTTTTCTCCTTTCTCTCCTTCTCCCTCTCCGTTTCCCTAGATCTATTGTTTTCCCTTCTATTTTCGTGGTTTCCCCAGCCTTTTTAAAAATTTTTTATTTTTATACTTTAATTTTCTTTTTTATGTGGTGCTGAGGATGGAACCCAGACCTCGAACATGCTAGGTGAGCATTCTACTGCTGAGCCACAATTACAGCCCTCCCCAGCCTTTTTAAAAATTATTATTATTTTTTCTCTCTAGATTGTGCTTATGAGAGAACATATTCTGTTCTTGACTTTAATAAGTTTGTGGCTTATTTCAATTAGCATGATGTTCTCCAACCATTCATTTATCAGCAACTTAAATCATTTCATTCCTATTAGGGCTGAGCAGAACTCGTGTGTGTGTGTGTGTGTGTGTGTGTGTACACACGTTTATCCATTCATCTGTTCACAGATGCCTTGGGCTATTATGAATTGCACTACTATAGACACTGGAATGCATATATCATTAGAGTATATGACTTCAGTTCTTTTGCATAAATACCAAGTAGTAGAATAGAGCTGGGTCATATAGTGGTTCTATTCCTGGTCTTTTGAGTAACCTCCATACCAATTTCCACAGTGGATGTACTAATCTGTAGTCCCACCAACAATGTATAAGTGTTCTTTCTCCCCATATCCTCCAACTCTTTGTCAGTAATTATTGTTATTTGTATTCATGATGACTGCATTCTAATTGGAATAAGATGAAATCTCAGTTTTGATTTGCATCTCCCTAACCTTCTTACATGACCTCAGTAAATTTCGGAAGCTTAATTCTTCATTATCACAAGATGCTGTACTACAGTAGTTCTCGAGGTTTGATTCGAGTACCAGGAATGTCCTTGAACCAAACTTCGAGAACCTAGGAATGTCATCATCACCTATGAAGTTACCAGAAATGCAAATTCTTGCAGCTTAAGCAAACTTACTGAATCAGACCTTAAGGTCTGGACCCAGAAATCTAAGCTTGAAAAGGCCTCCAGGTGAATTCAAGGGACACTATAATCTCAAACCCACTGATCTAGAGATCTAGGTTTAGAATATACATGTCCAGCTCCAATTCTGGAACCAGCCATTTTCTCCAAGAATCCCTAGCTTCTTTCAGGCATGAACTGTATTTAGAGAATATAGTCTAGGGCTAGGAAAACTCACTACCGCTGGACTATTATATGTAATAGCATAATTTTAAAATATATAAGAGTAGTGAGTAAAAGAACTGAGATAAGATCCTAAGTATCTTAATTGTAGGCCAGTCCTCTTTTCACTGTCTTTGAATGAAATACATCCATTTCCTTAGTAGCTAAAAGTATGGCCATCAGCTATCACTGGGACACACCTTGGAAAAGTCAGTCAATCCCTCTATGTTAGTACTCTTTTTATGTAAAATACAAATAATGCAATATATCCTATCTATCTGCTCTTAAAAACAGATTATAAAAGATTACATTAAAAAGCACTCATGGTATTATAATAACTGATAGAAACTTAGAATATCCTTGGTTTACAAAGACTGACAATAGAAAACATTAAATCAGCATCAGGGGAACACAAGAAATGATAACAGTTAAAGAGTGAACTAAAAGACAGGCTTGTCTTATTATAAAATTGGTATTTTCTATGATTTTTAAAAATGTGGTCATAGTTCAAGGAGGGAGGTTAAACTGAAACACTAGAAACAGATTGAATTGTTAACCAATTTCACAAAACATAAAGATACCAATTCAGCCTTGTGAGCAATGAAATAATTTCCTGTAAACATGCTACTGAAATTGTTAGGGGATAAAAAACCTTCCTCAACACACAAAATACTCTAAAGTAATTTAAAAAGCAAACATGTTATTTTTTAAAATGCAAGCAATAACAGAATAACTTTTAACACAAATTAAGACAAATTTAAATTTAAGACAAATTAAATATATGGTCTCAAAATGTGGATAAATTAAGCACAAAATTCATGAGAGAAAAAGCTACCACTGGGGGGAAAAAAGTGAGGAGATTTGAATTACATTTACAAATGAAAATTCAAGATGTGAAAAAAACAACACTTGACATCACTAGTAATCAGAGAAATATAGATTCCACAAAATAAATTCTTTTACATTCATCAGATTTGTATTTTTTTAAATGAGGAAGTGAAGGAGGAAGAGAAAAATGCTAATATTAACCATTGTTAATATTAACAGTTGAAAGGGTGAGGAAAAATTGATGATTCTTCTTTTCAAAAGTTGGTGCATTTGAAGTAATTTATCATTCTGTAAGAAGTATATCAGTAACAGTTATATAAAAGAGAAACCAAAAAAATAAAAATAAAAAATTTGAGTTTCCAAGTTTAGAATGTACTTGTTGCAAAGCCTAAAATCAGTTTCTAGAAAATAACTTCTCCACATCTCTCTAGTCAAAATTGTGTGACTGTGCAATTATGGTATACATACTATATTATATCCAAAGAGAAGCTATAAAGAAAGAAAAGCAATATCACAGCAGTTTAGCTGTCATACCAGGAGTTTTAGAGGATTCCAGCATGTTTATGGGATTCCCTAAAACCTAAACCTTCATTCTAAGGTATTACTGCCAAGAAAAAGAGGACAGGCTGCAGATGAGAAGTCCCAAATAAAAATCACAGCCAAGTCACTTAGAACATTGTGTGCACTTAGGTAAGTAATTCAATGTCTTTGTTTTCCTATTTGCAAAATGTGCACAATACCACTGTATTACTGTGAAGGTTAGAGAAATGTATGACCAGGGCCTACTTTAAATACTGGGAACCTAATTGGCACTTACATGGTAGCTGCTACTATTGTTATTTGTTCTGGTTAAATATCATCACTCCATCAAAGAAAAAAAAAATATGTCCTCTATGACTGTGAAATGTACTCTCTAAATTGAATATATTTTTTAAAAGGAAGGAAGGAAGGGGAAATGGAGGAAAGAAATATGGAAAGAAAAGAAAAAGGGAAATGGAAAAAAGGAAGAAAGCCACAAACTAAGATCAACAATGGTCTTTAATGAACAGAAATGGCAAACAGTTATACTAACAACCCTATAGCTTAATATAACCCACTCATTAAACTGACATTGAACTTACCAATTAAGTATGATCAACTTGAAGCAAGATGAACTTTCTCCTATGCTGAGGTGTCCTCACAAAACTGTGGAATAAAACTTGCCTTTTCTATTTAAAGCCATTCCATTATTGCTAAAAAGTTGATCTGACAGGAAGGCAGCAAGCAGGGTTAGAAAGAGAAAAAAGAGGAGGATAAAGATGAAGAGAAAAACAACATGCAATTAAGGATCAAATCTCTTCACCCAGTCCTCTCAGACTCCGTGTGCTCTGACCTGCAGCTGCTGGGAGCTGTCGTTGAGATTGTCTTCCCTCCGCCGGGCCTCCTCTAACATCTGTGCGCTCTTCTTTTTCTCCACCTGTTCCTTGTGCTTCAGATTTGCTACCTTCTTATTCTGGTCTTTCACTTGCCTATTGATAGAGGGAGAAAAATCAAGCTTTTTCATATATGTGCACAGAAAGAATATGCTATGTACAAATTTACACCAACAAAATCCAACAAAACTTCTTGGTGCAAGATTTTTTTCAACAATTTTTTTTTCTTCATATGTGTGTGTGTGTGTATACACACACACACATATTTAGTTGCAGATGAACACAATACCTTTATTTATTTATCTTTATGTGGTGCTAAGGCTCGAACCCAGTGCCTCACATGCTCTAGGCAGGCACTCTACCACTGAGACTCAGCCACAAGCTGGATTTTTTTCAACAATTCCAAATTTTTCCCTATCAAAGATAATACACTGTATACAATGATGTTCCAGTTTTCCTCTAAGGAGAATATATTTCAGCACATACTTTATCAAGCATGACAAAATTATAAAACAAAAGAAAAGCATGAGAGGATCTGAAATGATAGAGAAACCAAGTCAACCATTTATGTTGAAAATAATGGAAGCAGTCTCCTTACATTGTGACACAGATATATTATTACGACTCATTTTAACAAAGGTTTTGAAATATAACTTGAATTTTACCATTATTAAATCAATATTTCAAGCATTCAAAATGGTATATATAATATACATGTATCTGAAAATAATGGCATCAAGATCTAAGAACTCAGCTTAATAATTAGAACATTCTAAGGCTAGGACTATATAGCTCAGTGGCAGAGCACTTGCCTAGCATGTGTGAGGCACTGGGTACAATCCTTAGCATCACATAAAAATGAAACAAATAAAGGCATGCTACAACTATAAAAAAAATTTTTTTAAAGAATATTCTATCTACTTCTGAAGCTTCCATTGTACCACTCTCATATTCCAATGACTATTATTACTCTATCCTCCACTGGTAAGAGTAATCTCTATGTTAAATTCTGGGTTTAAAATCTCCTTGTTTTTATTAAAGTTTTGCCACATATACATGGACCCTTCATTTATAGTTTGCCAATTTTTGAGTTTCATAAAATTTACCAATAAATTATTTTTTTCCTTTCAGTTTGTGTTTTGTGAGTGATACTTAGTTTTCTTAATCCCCTCAATTTTTTTCTGCAGTATAAAACAATGTATATGATAACTGTTTTAGCCCATTCCCAAGGTGATGGATAACTGAGTTGTTTCCATTTCTTGCTATTATAAACAATGCTGCTAGATACAATCTAATAGAACTATGCAAGTTTCTCTAGGATTTAGGTCTAAAAACTCAACTGCTTAGTCCATACAGTAGGTACAACTTACATTCGTTTCAAGGTTTTATTAACTTATACTCTCACTAGTAGGTAATAACAATGCTTGTTATATTTCTCCATACCCACTGACATTTGATATCATCAGACTTTGTAATTTTTCCTAATCTGATAAAAAATCGTATCTCAATATGGTTTTAAAATGCATGCTCCTGACTACTGAAGCTAAAAATATTCTCATATGGTATTTGGCCATTCCTGTTTCCACTTCTGTGACTTATATCTTTTGTCCATTGTTTAATTAAGACAAATTTTCTTTAATGACATACGATTACTTTATATATACACTAATAATTTTTTAACTGTCACATGTTATGGACTATGTTCTTCCAAACTATGAATTATTTCTTTGATTGCTTTATGTTATCACTGCATTTACAGAATCTAAAAATTTTAATTGCTTCAAACATACCAATCTTCTCCTTTATAGAGTACAATTGTATGACAATTGTATGAATTCCAAATTCATAAAACTATTCCCCTAAAGATGTTACAACCTTGGTCTTTCACACTGAAGTCATTAACTCACCTGAAATTGAAGTTGAGTGGGCATGAAGTAAAGATGTAATTTCATTTTTTTGAGTATAGTGAAAGAATAAAATTTCATTTTTGTATGTATTAATAATGATTTGACTCAGCAATACTTCAAGCATTGTCACCTCTGTCATATGTAAAGTTTTTATATACATGTGTGCCCATTCCGGGTTTTCTACTCTGATATGCTTGTATGTTTCTGAGCCAACTTTATGCAACTGTAAGTACTACAGCTTTATAAAAAGTCTCAATAAATAGCAAACCAAGACTCCCTGATTTTTCCTCTTTTTCAGAACTATTCAGTGCATTAATCCTCTGGTAGGTATTAACTGGGTGATAACTCTAAGCTAATAGCATGTGGATGGAGGAGGTGGGTCACTCTGGAGGCATGCCTTTGGGGGATATATTTTGTGTCTCTGTGTCTCTGTCTCTGTCTCTCTCTCTCCCTAGCTCATAAACTTTTATTCCTCCAATTGTTCTTGTCAAGTCTTTTGGTTATGGTAGCAAAAAAGCTGACTAAACAAACACTGTGAAAAATCATATGTCAACAAGTTGGAAAATGCAAAAGAAATGGATAAATTTCTAGAGATGTACAACCTACCAAGACTGAATCAAGAAGAAATAAAAATAGATGTAAAAATCAATAATGAATACAGAAAAAGAAGCAGTAATTTAAAAAATTCTCAAGGGAAAAAAGCTCAGAACTGGAAGACTTCACACATGAACTCTACCAAACATTAAAGTAGAATAAATATTAAAAACAAAAAAAGTAGAATAAATAACCAATCTTTCTCAAATTCTTTGAAAAAACTGAAGAGGAAAAACATTTCCAAACTTATTTTAAGAGGCTAGCATTGCCTCCATACCAAAGTCAAATAAGAGCAGAAGAAAATCATAGCCCAATATATCCTGGTAAACACAGATGAAAATCCTCAACAAAATACTAGCAAACCTAATTCATTAGAATATTAAAAGGATCATTCACCATGAACAAGTGGGACTTATCTCTGGTAGGCAAGGATGATTCAACATACACAATCAATAAACAGGATATACTACATGATCAGAACGAAAGGTAAAAATTACATGATCCTCTGAAAAGACTGAGAAAAAAAGCATTTGATAAAGCTAAACATCCTTTCATGATAAAAACTCTCAATAGATGGGCACAGTGGTACATGCCTGCGATCCCAGCAACTCAGGAGGCTGAGGCAAGAGAATCATGAGTTCAAAGCCAGTCTCAGCAACTTAGTGAGAACCTAAGAAACAGAGAGACCCACTTGCTAAATAAAAAATAACAAGGAGGGCTGGGGCTGGGGCACAATGGTAGAGTGCTTGCCTCACACATGTGAGGCACTGGGTTTAATCCTCAGCACCAAGTAAAAAATAAATGAATAAGTAAAGATATTGTGTCCTTCTATAGCTAAAAATAAATAAATAAATAGATAAATAAATAAATAGGATTGGGGATGGTTGTTAAACACCCCTGGGTTTAAGCCCCAGTAACAAAATAATAAAAAAAAATAAATGAAAATTCTCAAATAAGGCATAGAAGTAATACACTTCAGTAAAATAAAGTCCATATATGACGAACCTATAGCTGACATCATACCCAAAGATGAAAAGCTGATATCTTTTCCTCTAAAATCAAGAACAAGAAAAGAGAGGCCAAAGCTGGGCATGGAGGTGTGCATCTGTAATTCTAGCAATTTAAGAGGCTGAGGCAGGAGAATCACAACTTAGATATCAACCTCAGCAACTGAAAGAGATTGTCTCAAATTAAAATTCATTTAAAAAGAACTGAGGATGTAACTTAGTGGTAAAGCCCCCTGAGGTTCAACCCCTAGTCCAAAAATGAAAAAGAAAAGCAAAACGTGTCCACTTTACCACTTCTACTTAATCAGTACTGCAAGTTCTCGCGAATTGGGTGAAAAAAAAAGAAATAAAAGGCATCCAAATTGGAAAACTTAGAAATTAAAGTGTATCAGTTTGCAGATGACAAAATCTTATATGTTAAAAACCCTGAAGACTCCATAGAATTATCAAAACTAATAAACAAATTCAATAAAGTTGCAGAACATGAAATCAACATAAAAAATAAGTTACATTTCTATATAGTACACAATGATCTATCCAAAATAGACATGAACAATCTCATTTATAACAGCATCAAAGAGAGTAAAATACTTAGGAATAAATTTAACCGAAGAAGTGAAAGTCTGCATACTGAAATCTATAAGACATTGATGAAAGAAATTTTTCAAGATACAAATAGAAAGATAGTCCAAGTTCATGGGTTGGAAGAATTAATATTGTTAAATGTCTATACCACCCAAAGTTATCTATAGACTCAATACAATTCCTATCAAAATTCTAATGGCATTTCTCACAGAAACAGGAAAACAAACAAACAAAACCAACACTAAAGTTTATACAGAACCACAAAAGACCCTGAACAGCCAAAGCAGTCTTAAGTAAGAACAAAGCTAGAACCATCACACTTTCTGGTTTTCCCAACGATACTACAAATCTACAGTAATTAAAACACTGAAATACTGGCATAAAAATAGACACCATACACCACAGAACAGAATAGAGAGCACAGAAGTAAATCCATACATTTACAGTAACGTAATTTTTGACAAAGATGCCAGGAGGAACACATATGAGAGGATAGTCGCTTCAATAAATGGTTCAGGGAAAACTGAATATCTATATATAGAAGCATGAAACTGAACCTTTATCTCACAGTACAAACAAAAATCAACTCAAAATGGATTAAAGCATTTTTAAAACTAAGATCTGAAACTTCATAAAGACAACATAGTAGAAGAAAGCTCAATGATAATGGTTTGGGCAATGATTTTTTTTTTCCTTATATGACACCAAAAGCACAGAGAACAAAGCCAAAATCAGACAAATGGGATTATATCAAACTAAAAAATTTCTATATGGCAAAGCAAACAACAGAGTGAAGAAAGAGCCCATATAGATTAGGAAAACATACTTGCAAACCGTACTTCTGGTAAGGAGTTAATATCCAAAATACATAAGGGACTCAATAGCACAAAACAAACAAACAAACAAAAACCCCTCAATTTAAAATGGACAAAGGATGCTGGGTGCAATGGTGCACATCCGTAGCCCCAGTCACTTGGGAAGCTGAGGTGGGAAGATGGCTTAA